ATATGAGAATATGACGTAAGTCTCTGTGCCACAGTGACATTGGCTATTTTCTTTGTCTGTTTGATGGTCTGCATGGTGGTTTCTTCTTAACGGTGTGATTCTGAATGTGTTGCCATGGCGTTTGCAGATACTATCATATCGTGGACAGACCAGGATGCATCAACAGATCTGGCACTCAGTTTTCAGGAGGCGATTGGATGTGCGTGCATCTGGTGAGGTGGCTGGTGTGACGGGGATTCTTTACCTTTGTTTATTGTGAAATAGTGAATGTCTCTGCTTCCACATAGTATGCCATTGATCACCTTTGTGTTGTTATATTTGTCTCCATTATCAGCTCACCTCAGGATCTTTGCTGAGTATATACCGCCAGCGCGCATTGAGAGGTCTTAATTTTCTTGTTACTGGGTGGTGGCATGTGTCGTTGCTGTAGTGGGAAGGGAAGACCTCCCCCCCCCCCAACCCACTCCATAGCACACACACATACATATACGAGTCTGACAAAACATTCTGGCACAGTCATGCTTTTTTTTGTGTAGTTGTGTATAGCGAACATGACAACGCACACAGACAGACAGACACAGACAGACAAAGACAGACAGACAAAGACAGACAAACAGACACAGACAGACAAAGACGGACAAACAGGCAGACGGACAGAGACAGAGAGACAAAAAGACATGCAGGCAAGCAGGCACTTTCTCTGCAACCCAACCCCTGATTGGCCTCTTGTGCCAGTCTGCTCAACTGGTGAGTATTGAAGACCCAATTAGGTCCCTCTTTCCCCTGCATTTCTCCTCCTCCCAACCTTCTCTTCTTCTCCCCCTCCTTCTGTCCCCTTCCCCTCGTTCCTCCACCAGTGTGGGAGCACTACATGGATATGAATGAGCATGACAAAGAGATCAGACAAAGTATACGGTGCACATGTGCTGAAAGGCAAACAGGTGTGTACACATCCCATGCTCGGGTACACAGACGTGGTGGGCCTTGCACCCGTCGTAATACAACCATGAAATGGCCATTTCATCAAAACATTACATTTGCAAAACTTTACCAATTATTTCAAAAAAGGCAAACAAACATCTAAGTTCATAAGGTAAGTCCGTTTCAATTTTGCATCTGAACGTCAGGGTGGAAATGCAGTCGTTCAAGATCACATCTAAGGTCATACAAGGGTACCTGTTGCGGCTTCACTCGCAAGGGATTGAGTGGGAAATGGGAGAAATGAGTCAGGGTGGTGGGTTCGGTGGGTTTTGGGGTGGTGGTCTGGGGTGTTTTTAGACTCATGAATGGGGGGTTGTGCCCTAACAGCCATGGCAATGTATGTGCAGCACCTCCTGCTAGTTGGGGAGGTTCTGCAACAGCTGGCTTTGGAAATCGGCATGCTATGTCTACCCCTACTGTCTTCTCCCGAATCTAGCCTGAAATCCAGCGGCGTACCTTGGTTGGTATGGCACGCAAGTGGCATTCATAAGGTCTTGAGTTCAATCCCCGTTGGCCTCATGTACCTTCCTGGGCAAGCTTGGCGCCAGGCACATAGAGAAAGACCGGAGGGGAGGCACGTTCTTTTTTCCCCGAGCTGTGGAGTTGTGGCGGAGGAGCGGGGAGAGTGAAGAAGCGGGGGAAGAGGGCGGAGGAGGGCGGCAGGAGCAGAGAAGTCGTGGGGGATGAGCCAGGTAGTTAGTTTGGGGTCTCTCTCTCTCTCTCTCTCTCTCTCTGCGCTGCGCGCTGTTTTTCCATGTTTTTTATTTATTTAATAAAGATCTCCCGATGGTCCACGGGTCAGATATCAAACTGATCGGAACAGATACTACACTTGATCGTCATCG